GAAAGCATAATTGTTTCAACAAATGATACTGAAACAATTGTATATCCATATGCCAAAAAAATGAATCTCGTATACAAAATTTAACTCAAAATTAATCATAGGCCTAAATGTAAAACCCAAAACTATAACATTTCCAGAAGGAAACATCAAGAATGTCTTTGTGACATTGGCAAAGGCAAAGATTTCTCAGATATAAGACCAAAAGCACAACCCATAAAAGAAAGAAATCTATAAATTACTAGTATACATAATCAAAATTTAAATCTTGTTAAGAGAATGAAAAGATAAGCCATGGACTGAGAGAAAATATTTGCAAACTATATGACTGATAAAGAGTACTCAAATAAAGAGTACACATTATATGATCCCTTTTATATAAAACTCTAGAAAAAGCCAAGTGATCTATATTACAGCAAGTAGATCGGTGGTCGCCTGGGGATGAAGGGAGGAGGAGAGAGGGAATGATGGCAAAGGGCACAAGTAAATTTGGGAGGAGGATGATGAATATGTTCATTGTCTTGATTGTGGTGATGGTTTCATGGGCATATACATATGTCAAAAGTTCTTAGAGTGTACATTTTAAATATGAGTATTTTATTATGTGTCAATTATACCTCAATAAAGCTGTTCTCTAAAAAAAATCATGCCTTTCTGTGAGGATAGCGGCACTCATTCAAGGGCAGGGAGTGTTAGGGGAGAGGCCCATCCTAGGGTCTGGGCACCCGGATGCCCCAGCTCCCTCCCACCCATCCGCTCCACTGTGGCTACTCACTGTCAGGTTCCACAGGTAACTGCCAGGTGCTGTTGTCTCCCAGAAACTCTTGGGAGTAGGCATAGGCCTCCGGGGCAGGTCTTGGTTTCTGTAGAACTGAGACACCCCATTCCTGGGTCAGCACAATCCCTCAGCATTGAGTCTGAGAATGGGCTGCCCCCTCCCCCAGTCAGGTTCCAGAAGGAGGGAGGTGGCACCCAGTAACCCTCGGAGCTTCTGCTCTTGGGCCTCTGCTCTTGGGAGGCTCCCCTTGGTCAGTGGCCTCTTTGCAGGAAAGAGAGAGCCTGTGGGGTTCGGATTACCTAGGAGCTTACCCACAACAAAGAGAGCCGTCAGAGAGGTGGCAATGATCATGACCATAAATACCAGGCTGGCCAGAACAAGCCTTGACATCTTGGGGGCCGATGGAGCCACTGCCGAGGAGTCCAGGCCTGTGGGGGAGACACCGGAGTCCAGGAGGAGAGTGCGGGCTGGGCAGAGTTAGCCCCTCGGGCTCAGTCTCCTGGCCTGTCTGACGGGGATGAGAACACCTGCACTTATCACGGAGAAGGGGCATGAAGCCTGGTAGCAACACAAAGGCTGGAGGTGTGCAGGGTACAGAACCCGGCCTGGACAGGAGGGCAACAGAAGAGTGATTTGAATGAGAGAAGAGGGAAGGATGGAGGGAGGCAGGAGGGGAGGGAGAGAGCGAGAATCCTGACCTCAG